TATTAATGTGCAGTCCGTAAGTGGTCCTACTCTGCGTGTGTTCTAGATTGTCGGAAGTGAGCGGTCAGTTGTTTTGGCCCGGGAGGACGAGGTTGCTGTCATTTACATATCCTGCCCCTAATAAAAGTAGGCCTGTTGGGAATAAATGATCTCTACCGATCCTCCTCTACTGAAACTCCTAGGGGATGGTATTTGCATCGAAATTGCCAATTTGTCTAGAGGGGTACGTAAAAGGGTGCGATTTATTACGCTCGGGAAGGCTTCTGAAAAAAAATGCAACGTGTGATTTCCCCGTAGAGCAAATTCCATGACATGCGAGTGAATACGACTTGACGGTCCTTTCCCTTGCCCCATTGCAATAAATAAATTTGCGAAGCAAGCGTTGCCAACTTAATCATGGTATCGATCATAATTACGAAAGAAAAATGGCATGTAGGTCTTTTTTTTTTAGCAAAGCATTTGTGGTTCTTGAAGTGTTGGCGGTAAAGAAAATGCGCAATTGTAACTAAAAATGACTCTACGGCGGATCCGGGGGGCGGCAACGGGGGCCATGACCCCCCTCCCCCCCCCCCCCAAAAAAAACCCATGGCAGCCAAATTCACCATGCACTAATGCCATGAAGCGACGGTGTCCCCATTGCTTTTCGTATTAAAGGTTGGGCGGAAAATTTTTGGACCCACTTTGTTGGAAAACAAAACAAATTTTGGCCCCCAACAAATTGTGTTCTGTATTCATCCTTAAAGACTGACCAACAAAAAATGAACGGCCTCTTTTGAGCAATTCCCCCCCCCGAAGTTTTAATCGAATTAACCGACCGGTCAATGTCCATTCGAATAATTATTGTCGGGTAGATTAACATTGTCGACAACTTCACCGACTTTTTTGGCTTATTAATGTACACTTGTCTTAGATATGCACTGCTCGAGAATGAACACTTGCATGTTGTCATTGTGTAAATCATTTTGAGTATCAATTTATGTTAACAAAATAAGTGGTTTTGCTAGGTGAAGTAGTTTTGCGGTGAGAGTAAAAAGGAATGGTATAGTCTCGTTCACGCCAGCAACTTCTAAAGCTTCAGAGGCAGGAGTTTCATCAGAATTTATCGGGCCTTTGATGAAGGATAACATGGATTTACCTTGGTTGCCACACCTCCATCTTCAAACCATTGTGATGAAAAGTGTGGCTGGGTTAAGGGGGCTTCTCTGCCCATTTCAAAACCCAATTTTTGCAATTCCTGCCTTAAGCAGAGGAGTGAGGGCGCTTGAGTGACACGAGCTCATTCCAAGGCTCCACTACTGGCTGTAGAAGAATTTGCGTTTGCCAAGTCTTGGTCTTGTCTTAGCAAACTTTTGTGGATGTCCTCTTGTGCTCTGGTTCATACGCCTTGAAGCCATCAAGCCAAAAAAAGTTACAAATCTTTAAATTATTATCATTTTTCTTCAGTAATTAGTAAAAATTTAACAGTTGAACTTAGCGAACGGAATCGAATAGCATGCAACCGAGTTTAACCTCTATCCGCTCACGAAAATTGGCTCTCGCTTCGCCTCCTTACGCCTCTTAATTCCGGCACATTCCCAAGTATTATTTGAACAAAAACCTTCTTGAGAGAAAAACACACACCTGCAGGCCTCAAGAAGAAAAAGAGACGGGAACTATTGTCCTGTCCGCTCCTTGAAGCAACGGAGCATCTCTATACAAGGCCACAGAGCAGACATCTTCAGGACGCTAAGTAATAAGTGTCCGTAATCCCCTCGAAGGGAGAGCGATGGTTTGTTTTCGTTATCGACACCGGTGGGCCTCTTGGGGGAGTCTACAGCCTTTTCACGAACACATTACAGCATTACAGTGGTATTTCATTATGCGCATGAGTGGACGGTTTGGATGCGCGTTGCTATGGTTGCGCGGCCAATCGCATCACAAACAAGACGGGGCAGTCTAGCATCCGACTCATTAACGCGAGTCTGAAGTCGTATCTCCCAAGGAGACTTTTAATGTCTTATTTCCAAATAGTGTAACCAGGGACCAGACAATTCAGAGTGAAAATCACTTAAACGATTCATTCCACAGTGGAAATCCAGTGAATAGCTCAATCTATCCGACTGAATGAATTTCACTCGAAATTTAGCCGGGTGGAGTGATTTTTTTTCACTCGAGTTGTATAGAGTGGATTTTTTACTCTTTGAAAACAAAGGAGCAATACCGCACGAAAAAAGTGCGAGTGCAACCATATTTCCGCTAAATTACTGAAGTTCCTGACTTTCAAACTCCAGCGAAAAAAAAAATCATTGCTGTCCCTAATTGCTTTACCAAAAATTTCAAAAGCTGTGTAAAACTTTAGCTTTCTCTCTACATGCCAAAGAGTGAAATTATGTACTAGACGTTTTAGAGTGAAAATCACTCTCATTTTAGATTAGTAGTTTGAAAAAGAAAGAATCATTGAAGTCAAAGCTTGAGTGAAATTCGGTCTTTTCGATTGAAGGAATTTCAGTCTAAAACGTCTGAGCCCTAGTTTCCGACTGTGGGAGTGAATCTTCACTCGAATGGATCGAATTTTCACTCTTTGGAATTTGATTTCACCCCAAGAACTGAAGAAAACCCTCATCTTACCGAGCTGTGCGGTGGAAATGTCTCCGGCGGCGAAATGTTTGTTTCCTACTTGTTTGATTGTCGAGTGATTTGCTTACTCAGTGTTTGCTATGTGTGTTTGTCGTGTCGTGTAACGATCAAATAAACTTCCTCCAGTAAGAACACGGGCAACACAAGAACAAAAAGTGTTGGGCAAATAAGGGTAAGGATGAACTACAAGAAGAGACAGTCTCTACGTTGGTGAAGGGCAAAAACCTAATATTGATTTACTTCTCCACGACACACGTTCCATTCAATTAAAATAGAGATAGTAGTGATCTGAAGACAAAAAACACAGCCTTATAACGCTCGCATAATTCACAAACATTAACATAAATTGAAGAACGGCCTACATTAGGTCGCATCAGCTGGAAGAATCCCATTTTTTAATGGTTCAGAAAAGTAACCACAAAATCATTCTGTGATAAAATTGTGAAAAGATTGTCTGTTTTTATTTTAAAAATTCTGCACTCGAATTTAGAAGTGAAAAAAAGATAAGAAAGGTCAGATTTAAACACTTTTCTCTTTAATGAAATCAAGAACACACTTTATTGGAAAATACATTTCAAGATGATTTATCTTCATTTTCAGGTAATATTAGTTGTGATACCAAAAGGTTTGTTAAATACAGTCATCAAATCAAGTTTAAATCAAAATCAATTCATCACGATGATTTGATATCCCGTTCGTTCAAGGGCACCTTTACGTCCATTTGTTACGTGTTAAAACTTCGAGGCAGGAATACAGTTTTCAAGCGGGCCATAAAATTTTAAGCAGTCGCTATCAAAATAATTCCGATGAGAACAGAATAACTTGGCATAAAAAAACCACCAAAATAACCTGCTGAATCGTCAAATATCACATTAACGTTGCTCCATTGATTAGTAAACACAGTTTCCTCAGCATGATTATCTGCTTGGCTGGTGTTTGATATCGCCAGTGTGTCGTAAAATATTGCATAACCTAATAGATATCGGCCGGGTTGGGGGGGGGGGGGGGTTAGTTGTCTCTTTTAACTCGGGTAAACATTTCTTTCTCGACTTTGAACCGATGTGGTTGTCAAAATAGAATTGTGGCATATGAATGGCTGAAAAGAGCAAGTCAAGATCAAAATTAATGCTTCAATTATGTACTGAATAGTTCTAGGGCAGGGGGTCTGGGGAAGGAAACATTCCTGAGTGTTTCTACACAATTGGATGTCGTGGGGAAAAACGTTAGTTAAACATCCTGTTAGATATCTTTTATAACGATTTGAAATACTGTACAAAGGCCAACTGAAAAAAGGTCGGGGTTCCAGACCGAATTAAGGGGTTTTGAGGAGGCTTAAAAATCCTTGCTTGTCAGGCAGATTGGTGCAAAATATGATAGAATTGTTCGTTTGATGATAAAATCATGAAAGTTGGCACACAGTCAGAACATGCCCTAGAGAAATTTTCAGCTTTAGGGCCATCGCAGATTTGTACTTTGAAAAAGTATAGGTAGAATAACAAGCAATTTTATAAATTTCCAAAATGGCTGTCATTGCTTGTTATCCTACCTGTACTTTTTTCAAAGGACAAATCTGCGATGGCCCTATAGCCAAATATCTTTCTCATGACATACTCTGACTGTGTGCCAAATTCCATGCTTTTATCATCAAATGAACCATCCTATCACCTATCTGCCGTACTATAAATCTATTTTTAAGGAAGCTATTTCGAGAGATCTTTCGATTTAGGAACAATATTTAAAAATGTCGACTACAATTTTATGTTAAAGAGCTAAATTATACGGATTGACATGTGTGAAGTACATTTAGGGGAAGACTAGATCATGTTTTCGGGGACAAGAAGCCACATCCCCCTAAAAAAAAAACAAAAAAAAACCTCCCCTGGTTAAGAGGGAAACCCTGTATTTCCGATAGCTATCAATATTCATTGAATAGTTTAAAGGCAAGTGAATTTAGTGTGCATAATCGTTTGGACTTTCGTGTTTAAGTTCATGGTGGAAAATGAACAAAATTAATCGTAACGTCCTCGTTTACTTTGACAAAACAGTCATCACCATAACCTAGGGCCTAGTGTAGCCTGCTGGATCTTTTTGTTACAAAATAGAAATCGAATAAATGTAAATTTTCGGTTACACCTTGAAAAAGCAAATTTCTCGCGAGTGTTTGTGTGGCAGCGAAGAATCGGAAATATCCACCGTAAAGATTGTTGCACAAGTTCTCTTTAAAACTACACACACTCACATAGGAGATTTGCTATTACATTGTGCCATAATTTCACCATGCAAACCTTCAGATCATAATTATATCAAGTTGCTGATCTTTTGGAAGCATTCACTTGTGTATTCACAGTTATTGTGGTTCCGAAGGTGTTTTTGTTGTTCATATAAAACAGTAAATATTAACAAGTGGATCGGAAAGGAATAAAAAAAAATAGTACTAATATTAGACATATTGCTTCAGCTAAAACACAAAAAGTATAAAATAAGATGTTATTTCAAAAGTCACAATTTTTACACATTTACACATGAATACTTTTCAAAAATACACAAAATATATACTTTCCTAATATGTACATCTGTTCATTCTTGCGTTTGTGTTAGTTGAAGTGAAGTCTGTCACGTTTGGGTGTCATTGTCGTTGATGTCTGTAGTCTTTTCTTCGAGGTTTTGGAGTTCGGTCGAGTTTGGGTCTTCACTTGTTTTGTTGTCCGTTGGGGTGTGAGGTCCGTTGAGCGTTTTGCCGGACACACTAGCAGTTTCGTGGGCTGTTAATGCCCCGTTCGGGACGACGTAGACTTTCGACGTGTTTCCCTGGGCGCTACCGGTCGTCTTTGGCTCGGGTTTTGGTGAGGGTTGCACCCTTGGTGCTGCTCGCGACACGGCCGTACGTTCCTCGTCGCTCGTGTCCACGTCGCGCGGGTTAATGCCCCGGCACTGGTAGCAGCACAGGACACTCTTGAAAGCCGACTTGAAAGTCTTGTTCTGAGCGTAGATTAGAGGATTCAGGAAGCTGTTGATGTAGCCGAGCCACACGAAGATCTTGACGGGTAGAGGTGGGAGGCAGTGCCCGCAGTACGGATCGATGATGTTGACCACGAAGAACGGCAGCCAGCACAGGATGAAGACACCGACGATGATGGCGAGCGTCTTGGCGGCCTTTCGCTCGCGGGCCATGGTTTTCTGGTTGGTCCGGCCCCCGTTCTTGACCCGGTTGGCCGTGGTGTCGTAGGCGGCGATCTGACGGGCCTGCCGCCTCGCCACCACGTAAATCCTGGCGTAGGTGAAGAGGATGATGGCAGCCGGAATGTAGAACGAGATCAAGGAGGAGATGAGTGCATAGGTGGAGTTCATGGACAGGACGCAGAAGTACGGGTCTGAGTACCAGCCGATGGCTTTCAGGTCTTCGTCCTCGTGAAGGTCCAATGTGACGGGGAGCACGCTGATCAGGAAAGACACTATCCACGCCGTGGCGATGAGAGCGAACGCGGTACGGCTGTTCATCCGCGAGTAATAGGTGAACGGGGATGTGATGGCCATGAAGCGGTCCAGGGAGATCACGCACAGGTTCAGGATGCTCGCGGTGGCTGAGAGGATATCGAAGGCCTGGAAAGCGTCGCAGAACGCCAAACCAAAAGGCCAGGAGTCCGTGATCTCGAAAACGGCAGCGAAAGGCATGACCAGCATCGAAACCATCAGGTCGGCACACGCCAGAGACACGATGAAATAGTTGGTGATGGAAGACCGTAGTCTACGGACAGTCAGAACGGCCACTATGACCAGGATGTTGCCTACGATGGAGCATACGGTGATAGCGTACAGCGTGATGCCCATCAGGACATTCTCGGCCACCGTTCTCCCTCCTTCTCCCGCGGGAGCTGTATCGTTCATATCCATTTTTTCGTTTACTGAGCTCGGAAAACGTCTCACTTATACCCTACTGCACCATACACATGTACGTCCGCTAAGTACTTGAGTGGTACACGCCACGGCGTATTCTCAGAAGTGAAGTGCTAATTGTGAAGTGAATCAGGTGCATGAGTTAATTGAATGTGAATTTCCCGGTGTCGCATCAGCACGGTATACGGAGATACAGGATGTCCTTGCGATGCGCCATTGGGTCCCTTCCGGAAAGCTGCCCGGCTCAGATCGCAGTCGGATACATCCACTTCACGATCCTTGGAAATGGGAGACCCGTCTCGACGGTCTCCATAGCAAACCCAGAGTGAGATCACCCTCTGCTGAAAACATAACACGATGAGGGAAGAGGACTCTTCACTTACACAAGCAACAATGCTCCAACAAAAACAGTCCGGACGAGTACTGCAGGGTATCCGTATAACAACGTCCGTTTAGGGTGATAATCTGGCGTTGTGTGGTGCTGACGGTTGTGAAGATAGCCTCACAAAAGACCAATAGATGTTACGAGTTAACGGTGTACCTCTATAATCCACCACCGTTTACTCCTCCGTTTGGGAGACGAGAGCGCGGACAATAGTTACTAGCTTGGCCAAACACGGGGACGCTAGGTAAACAAGGGATTAGAGCGCCAGGGAGTTCGACCCTTCTTCCCTCTCCTTCAGTCGTGGGGCTATTGTGCTCCCCGTTCGGCTTGCCTGGTAGACTTTAAAGCCCTGTCAGTTCGATTAGTTCATCCCTGTACATCACTGCGTGTGCACGGCTTGGGCGTGACGTCAGAGCGAAGCCTACACACAGTGACTTTATCAAAGCAAGGGATGATGATGATGGGCCGATACCAATCTGACTTTATGCCACTGGTGGATAGGGATGCTGGAAAAGCCCAACGACTGTTTCATGATTCCACTTTATACTCAATGCTACGGACATCAAACACAACATTCTTATGCAAGTATTTCAAAAGGTAAAGGCACACAGCGTTTTTAGGTACATACCAAAGTCAGCAGGATATTTGCTATCTTGCGTTATCGAGAGCTTTAATATTTTACAGAAATGGCAATGCGAGAGTAATTTGCTGCGGTCTTTGCGTAGAATATGCACTTTTCAAATGTTTTAAAGCACATTTTGAACATTTTTTTCATGGATATATTTTAAACTTGGTCGAATTAAGTAACCTCATTCGTGGAATGCAACTCGTGAAATGGTTTGATAACTGCGAAGACATCTGGAACATTGCCTGTCATTTGTCATGTAACTGCTTGACCTTCGCTGGGAAGAAATGCAATCTAAAGATCAAGTAAATATAGGCTAACTAGTGTTACTATGTAGCATATAATATCTTATGAATATTGCCCGATAGCTGCGCCGATTTCCAGCTGTGATAGACGCGCGCTTGGTGTCATAATAATTATTAGCCCGGATTGATGTATTAAAGGGGCACTCACGCCAAATCTTCGAAATAATCAGAAATACCACATCTGAATCAAATATATGCCCAATGCTGTATGTTCTGATCGAGCTGACGTGAAAAAAGCTTCATTTCATATGAACATGGAAGCATATTCCTTTAGCCATACCGTAATTTTTTGCTTTAAAGGAAATGTAATTGTCCATAGACTGAACCCCTGAAATCGTTCCAAATGACTTGAACAGTCGATCCTTTACGTGTAGTCGCTCCTAATTATTGTTTCACACGTCGATATCATTTGAAATCTTCTGAACATTTAGTTCGGCGCGGTGGTAAATGAATCTGGAGCCGGGAATGAAGCAGAAGCTGAGAGAAAAGTTGAGATTTCAAAAACCTCCTTGACTCTAGACGAACCTGGACTAATCACATCAAATCAGTGTAAAAACAAAGAGCTATCTTTAGCATCCACTGTGCCGATGTCAGTGCCTCGCGGTGGCAAGAAAACGTAGTCGGAATGATTTTGCATTTACGTTGAGATGAAACAGGTTCGGGGTGATTCGGAATCAGGCAAAACGATTTGGGAGATGTTCATAACAACGAATGGAAAGTCCTTCACATTTTCTAGGGAATTAAAAAGAGAAGTTTGATAGCGATAATATATTTGGTAAGTTATGAAATGCACTTATCAAATGAAGGAGCGCTATAAAAAAAACGGCGCCTAGAAATAATGTATCCCTGCGCGTCGAGCCAATGAGTCTGGCACTTTCGGCCGTTCGGGAATTGTCCAATTCATTACGTGGCGTTATAGGCGTAAATCCTCTAAACTTCAACACAACTCTACTGTCACATGTATACATGGTCATTGACTCCTTGCTGGCCTGAAAACAAATGTCACAACATGATATTGCCAGGGGCGAACAGGGGATGTTGAGGGCTTACTGATGCCGTCAATACTGCCAAATATACATGTACCAAAAGAAACAGACGACGCTATGCTGAATGCTACCCTGTAAAAAAAAATTGATTAACCTGAAGCCCCAAAACGAGGAAGGTTGTTCCTCTTGCGGCCAAAGTTTAAGAAAGGGTTGTCTCTTTTGTGAAATCCTGTGTATTGATCGGCACATACCACAGAACTCGATAGTCTATCGTTAAGCTGTATCGATCCGGTCTGTCTACGTGTGATCTGCCTGGTTAACAAAATTTAATTAAGTGTCTTCTTGTGAGTTTGCACGTGTGTTATGTCTTGAGGGGGTAATTCGATTGGGAATTGTCAGTTGATATGAGAGTCATCTTTTCCCTCTCGGTTGTCACTTCAGTTTAACTATGTGCCTTCGACTTTATGGCTTCTGACAAGCGTCATTGTAAAAAGACATTGACAAATGGGGAACCGCCAACAAAGGGCTGGATAGCTCAGTTGGTAGAGCACCGATATGGTGATCCGAAGGTCGCAGGTTCAGACCCTGCTGCAGTCAAACTTCTAAAGCTATAAAATTATAAAGCACCTATCCGTTTCCCTTTATGGTTTAGAAATTGTGACCTCCATTCAGATGATTATACGGTTTGTGATTCATATTCCGATGTTGTGTCAGTTGATAAAGTAGTCATTGATTGCGAAAACTCATCCAAATATTGGCAGCAAACTTGACTAACTTTCACAAGAATCAGAAAGAGACCAGAGAGAATACTTCAGAGGGAGAGTATCAGTACATTTCGTCCTTCGTTTGCGAGGCATCATGGTGATGGCCAGGCACGACCGCTCGGATATCCTCTCAATGATAGCGAAACCCCGCAACTTCGGGCCCGCGTCACACCGCGCACGGCCAGCTGTGTTTCTAGGTCTCGTCTACCGTAGATAGCAAAAACCCTTATGGTTGCCATTACTTATGGTGTTAATAACCACTCCATGTCCCCGATACAACACAGATAATGACGGCGTTAAAAGCTAATGCGTCAATAATACCACTCGAGTGCCTGCCATACGGTAATAAGAATCTCTCAGGTATTATAGAGGTCATTTGGGGAAGATTTTGTCGAGCCACGGGACAAATTTGAACCGCGGTGCACACGTGAAGCAATCCGTTTGATAGGTTTGTCGTTTGTAACATCATCGGTAATTGCGGCTCGTTCGAAGCTCGAGTTGGCTACAATTGGGTGGCTACACTCTCAAAAGGCTGATATGTCATCCACGCAAGGGCTTATCGTAACTACCCAGAGTAATATTAAGTAGTTGAACAGAGATTGCACCAAGAAGTTGATTGAATGGAATGGACCTTATATACTCAGGAGGAAGCCGTTTTTGTCGTGTTCCCCGAATGTATTTTGTTAATTGTAGACTTTCAAACATTCTAGCCTCACTTTCATTTCTTTTTAAATTGTGGCTTGAAACATTAGGATATGTTCAATCACAAATGTTAAATTATTCATCAGAGCAGACTGGTATTAATTTGTAACATACTTTATGTCATTGCTTTCCTTTCTCTTCGTAAATTTCAAAAATGAAATTTTACCTCGATTTTAATTTAATATTGCCGACTCATGATTAAAGCATGGCAAAGGATAACCAGTAGCAACACGACGTAAATACATTTACAAGCGGGTCGATTGAAATAAGACGACAAACGTCATTACGTTTGGGGAGTCAGGTTGGCGTACTCCCCGTACATGCTTATCGTACGGGGAGTCAGGTTGGCGTAGCGGTACTGTCCTCGCCTTCCACCGCTGTGACCCGGGTTCGAATCCCGCCCGGGCCAATATGTGGATTGGGTTTTCAGTCCCTACCAGATTCCGTGGGTTTTCCTCAGAATATTCCTCTGGGCTTTTCCTCCCACCTCTAAAACTGTAATGTCTTCTAATTTTCTTCTCTGTACAAGTTTCTTCAGGCTTTCGAGCTACAGTACTTAGGGTACTTTTGAGGAATCCTTGGTTTCATTACCAAAAGAAATAAATTACATGAGGTACACGCCCGCAAAACTTTTCCCCAACGCTTAAGAATTTCGCCGTCAGAGGGCCGCGGGCCGCGTTTTGACGTGTTGGTAAGTTTCGCTGTAAGGGTAAGGCATAGAGGTAGAATTCTACCTCCATGGGTGAGGTATCAAACATTTCGTTGTGGTCTCTTACAGACGCTCACACTTTCCTTGCATGCTTATCGTACGTTGTTCGTGTACTGAGCTTGCGCAGTGCATTATAGGAGCACCTATTTCATGGGGTCCACATTCCAAACTGCAAAGCGCCGTTACCAAGATACCGGTTTAACCAAGGCCAATCGACTGTCAATGATTGGTGACCATAAGTCAATGACCCCCAAAAGATGTTACCGATATTGAGTCCTGTAACCTCTGCCTATAGTTTTAAAACGTTTTAACATTTTTTAGTGCTACTTTTTAGTGCTACTTTTGTGTTACAACGTTTCGCTATAACTGTAAGCCGGTTTTTCTAGTTAGTTGAGTGATGACGTCATCACGGTATAATGACATTGGGATATCCCCCTTTTAAGCCACCTTTCAGTATAAACGCTTTTCCAGTCTGTTGTGTGTCCACTGCGTAGTTGGGCCTATCGTCAGTACAGGTCCCCTATGAGCTTATCTGGCACGGACAGAAAACGAATTGAAATCTCGCTTATGGAAAGGCTATTAAAATGTCATTCGTATATCATGTGCTATAGAATGTTGATGCGCGTGCTTTTCTGCAAGGATCAATATGGATGTACGACCGGGCATGTGGTGCACATGTGGATGGGAGGGGGCAGATTCATGGTTCGCTACGATGAAGTTTAAAATTGTATTTTGGTAACATTGTCTGAAACTTTTTTTCTTTAGCGCATATGTCCTTTGAGTTAATGCCTCCACTCCAAATCTCCAGGGGGATGGGCAACAAAGTTGTCATTAATCAGCCGGTTAATCCCGGAACAAAACAACACATTGAGCGGTGGGAGTTAATCCTATTTGCGGATTACAAAGGGGACTAGTCCGCCGTGTCTATTTATATTTAGGAGAAAACTGTCATATTGGGTCGTCAAACTATCGATTGACGGGACAGCCGGACTTTTAGAAAGTTGGAGCATTGACGTCACGGGGAGGTTAAAAAGGGCATTTTGAGAGTGCGTACATGGAGTGTTCAACTTCTGCCATTGTTTTATAGTTTGTACATGCAACTTATCCCACGGCTTGTATCGATTTCAGAGCCCTGTTCAAGGGCGGATCCAGGGGGATCCAGTCCCCCCACCCCCCCCCCCCCAAACCCAAAAGTTTGTTTTAAGTGACTTCGCAATAAAGGCAGGCACTGCGTACACCAC